TACCATTTTATTAGACACAAGGGGTTCGAGCCACCAAGTGTCTTTATATCTAAGGCACTAAAGATATGCATTGAATGGGCACATTTTATTGTTCAGTTAAGACTATTGAAGACTTAGCTTAGAAAAGTCCACATTGTTTTAAAAACTGAACAGAAAGACACCTTCATCTACCTATGAATTGCTGGAGCTAACATGATAAATCTCTACAGTGACTAAATTGATTTTCTTAGTTAAAACTTATTTAGCATCTCTAGTTCCTTTAACTTCCCATATAAACTTTCAGCTAATTTTGTCTGTTTACAGAAAAATCTTCGTAGACTTCTCTTTTTTTTTTTTTTTCGATACCAGGAATTGAACTCACGACCTTGCACTTGCCAGGCAGGCACTGTGCCACTGAGCTAAATCCCCACCCCTCTTTGTAGACTTTTCATAAAAATTGAATCAAATGTATAAGCCAGATGACAGTTGCTACCTTCACTGTGTTGGACCTTTCAGTTCATAAATATGGTATGTGTTCATTTAAGTATTTCTCAATGTACTGTGTTTCATTAGTGTTTTATAATTTAAGTTTGACAAGTTTGTTTTGAACTTCCACTCCTCCTGCCTCAGCTTTCCAGAGTGCTGGGGTCATAGGCAAGCATCACTATGCTTGGTTTTTTTGCTTGCTTTTTTTTTTAGAAGTCTGGGTAGAATTTATTGTACAGTAGATAAAAAAAGTTACACCTTCAAGCAAGAAAGAAAAGTTTGGGTATATTTTTATACACACAAAAATTATTCCTGTGGTTCAGAGAACTAGGATTATTATGGTACTTATCAACATTTTACTTAGAAGTTATAAGGATTTTATTTTATTTTTATTTTAATTATTTTATTTTTTTTGGTACTAGGAATTGAACTCATGACCTTGTACTTTCCAGGCAGGCACTGTGCCACTGAGCTATATCCCTGGCCTACCATGCTTGTTGGATATCATTTTGTTGATGTTTCTTGGGTATAAGTGGCATTGGTGTATAATCTTCCATTTCTCCTTGATGTTTGGTACTATGTAGAAACAATATTTTTGATATGCTGAAGTCACATATTATTTCTGGCCTTTTCTCTTGGTAGAACCCTTGGGATTTTCTATCTACAAATGTCAACTGCAAGCAGAATTTGACTTCTTCTGCATACCTTTTATTTTGTTATTGCACATCAAGAGTTTCCGTGGCAACATTGGGTAGGCGTAGTGAGATAGGCTGTCTTGGCTTGGTTCTTGATGTTAGGGTGAAAACACTCAGTTTTTCGCCATGAAGTATAAATGTTATTGCTGAGACACACAGACACACACACAGCCATCACTGGTCTTGTTCCTGTAGCCTCTGGGTTGCTGAGCAAGGGCCCTACCAAGGAGCTACAGCCTGAGCCCTGAGGCGTTTAATAGATACTTTCTCAAGCGTATGAAGTCTATGTCTGTTCCCAGCTTGCAGTGACGGGGCCATTTTGAGTCAGTGCTGAATTAGGCAAGTACTTTTTCAACACCAGTTGACAGGATCCTGTGATTTTCCTTCCATATCTTACTGATAGGCTGTGTTACACGGACAGACTTTGAAATAGCCAACCAGCTGTATCCTTAGAATAAGCCATAGTTGTTTGTGGGACATTTTTTATATCGCATGGCATCTGCGTATTTGCTTATTTTTTTTTTTTCAGGTAGTTAATTGAGTTTCTTTCTGCTTCTCCCCACCTCTTAGTGTTTTGACAGATAGGTAGTTTCTCTTTTTTTCCTCTTTGTACTAGCAGTGGAATCCAGGGCCTTGCTAAATTGCCCAGGCTGGGCTTGAACTTGGAATCCTCTTACCTCAGCACCCCCAGTGATGGGATTGCAGGAGACTGTAATCACCCCCAGATTCTGTTTGCTTTGTTTTAAATTTGTAAGTATGTGAGGGTTTTTTGGTTTTTTATGATCGTGGGGGTGCACATGCTAGGCGGGCACTCTACCACTGAGCTTCCTGCTCAGGCTTTTTTGGTTGTTGCTGTCGTTCATTCCTTTGTTGTATGTTGCCTCGTTTTCATGTCTGGGTGTTCTTTAGCCTCCTAACATGAGTTGAAAAAACTACCCTTCTGTGTTCGGGAAGACTGTAAGTGTAATTAGTGTGTTTTTGTTTTTGTAATGTTGGTAGCATTCTGTGGTGGTTTTAGACGTTAAATTATTTTGTTTTTTCATTTGGATTGAACACACGACCTTCACAGTGACCTTCATCCCCGCCTCTTTTTTTGAGACAAGGTCTTACTAAGGTTGGCCAGGCTAAGCTGGTTTTTATTTATTTTTATTTATTTTTTTTTTTGAGATAGACTCTTGCTATGTAGTTCAGGCTGGCCTTGAACTCTATGTAGCAATCCTCCTCCCTCAGCCTCCCGAGCGCTGAGGTACGGGAGTGCATCCCCATGTCTGGCTTGCTTTTTCCTTCTAGTCAGTGAGTCTTCCAACAGAGTTGGGTAGCTCAGAAACGTGCACGAGAAGGCTGGTTGGTCACTGGATTACGATTGTGGCTGCAGGGTGGGCTCGCTCTCTTCTATCCTGATGTCCTATCCATGTGTGTCATCTTCACGGCTCAGGATCATTTTCTTTACCAGGCGACGTGAGCCGGCTCTTCCGCTTTGTGACCCGGAAGCTCGGAGAGAGAGTCTTGTAGTCTGATAGTCTCTAAACAAGTTGCCAGTGTTCCTCCTCCGAGCTTTGGTTACCTTGCAGAGGCCAAGGAACCTGGCTGGAGTGAGATCTTCATGCCCTTCGGACCTTAGCACTTTGGAGAAAGGGAAGAATGCCCTGGGTGCATTTCAGTAGGGCTGTGCTCCACTGCACGAAGTGGACTGATTTCTCAGCTCATACTTGGTCAGCTGCATGCGGGTGTGAAACTCAGGTCCGAGCTGGTGCAAGCCAGGGACATCCTGGCCTGTTGTGTGTCACTGTGGCTGTTCTGAGTCAGGCCCCTCCTCAAGAGCACAGCTTACTGTCGGAAGCACTGAGCCGCTGGCAGCAGAGCAGTGTCTCCAGTCTCATTGAGTCTGTCTCCAAGAAGGGAGTCATAGTCAGTGCTTGGTGTTGTTCCTGAGCTTGCCCTTGGGATCCTCCTCCCTCAGCCTCCCCAGTGCAGGACGCGCAGCCCCTGTTGTTTTAGATATCTAGTTTGTTTCACATGGGATCTATTTCAATTTTTGACTTTTTTAAGTGACCCAGGATATGCTGTTACTCTGCATTGCTGCCCAAAAGGCATGCCTGTTCCACTGTTGTGGTGTGAAGGGTCTGTCAGTGTCTGCAAGTGTCCATGTTTCTGTTGGCTGATGATGTTAATAAGATACGGATGTTTGCTCAGTCTAGTATTATTTTCTCTTAAACTCTTTTTTAAATTTATGCTTTTTTTTTTTTTTTTTTTTGGAGACAGGGTCTCACTGTGCAGTTCTGGCTGGCCGTGAACTCCCTTTGTAGCCCAGGCTGGCCTCAGATTCACAGTGATCCTCCTGCCTCAGCCTCCCAAGTGCTGGGGTTACAGGCACGTGCCACCACATCCAGCTCTTAAACCTTTATCGAGAATAAATTTTTTTCAACTTGGTTGAGAATTTTAAGTCAAATCCAGTGCTACCTCGAGTAACAAACTGAATTCATTCTGCAGTTCTGAGGAAGATGGCCAAGGTCATGTTCTTTACCCGGTGCAGAGTTTGCAAACAGAAGCAAAATTTTGCTGAAAGCTTCTGTTCCTAAACGGAATTATTCACGAACAGAAGTGTTTGTGAACTGAGGTGTTGCTGTAGTAGAGGTTGAATTTCCCCGCTTGTCTTTATTTAAGCCTCTGGTTGCCCTTCCCCTACATCTGAATTCTCTGTGGGCTCCGTGTCCAATCCATTCTCCTCCTCCACATCAAAGGCCCTTTCTCATTTCCCTCCAGTCTGGCTTACCCCTGGCCACACTGTGTGCCTTGGTGAGGTTCCTCACCACTGGCTGCTGGGCAGTCACAGGCCCAACCGGCAGAGAAGGTCCTTGCTCATCTCTTTGTAGATTTCTACGATCCACACGACTGAGTCTCAGAAGAATCAATCTGTGTAGTATTTCTGTCCAGTGAGAGAGTTACGCAGTCTTGAACTCTAATTGTGGAATTACCTGTTCGGTGTCTGAGTCTCTTTTCTTGGACAAAATCTCTGAGATAATCAACTTCATAAAAAGAGGAATTGTATTTGGGTTGTGATTTCCGAAGTTTCAGTGCATGGCTGCTTTGTTTTTGGCTGGAGGGGCAGGACACCTGTGGCAGTGTGTGGTGGAACAGAGCACCAACAATTCAACAAGACCTTGGGGAAGCAGAGAGAGGAGAAAGAACCAGGGTCCCAGTGTCACCTTCCAGAGCTGCACTAACTTCCTTCTACCCTTTGCAGAAGATACCGTTTCCTCCCAGGAGGCCATCGGCTGGGACTGTGCCTTTAGCACGTGGGCCTTCGGTAAACATTCAAGACCCAAACCATAACAGGTTTTCCACACATAATTCAGAGTTCTGTTTTTTGGTGCCTAAGTACTTACAATTGCATTACGTTTTTATTTATTTGTTTGTTAGTTTTCAGTACTGAGGATTGAATCCAGGAACTTCACACCAAGCCACACCCTCAGCCCTTTGTTCTTTAACTTTGTGACAAGGTCTTGCTCGGTTTCCCAGGCTGGGCTTGAACTTGGAGTCAGCCTTCCCCTCCCCGAGTGCTGGGATTATAGGCATCCACCTTCATGCTCTGTTTTCTAAACCCTCTTTCATTGACTCTCGTCATTATAGTTTTATTTGCCACTAGAAACTTCCTGGACTTTAAAGTATACCTAATCTATTTTAATATGGCCATTAATGTCCCAGCCCTTTTTTATTTTGAGACAAGGTCTTGTTGAATTGTTGGAGTAGGGGGCTTAAACTTGGTAATCCTCCCACCTCAGCCTCCCTAGTAGCTGGGATTACGGGCATGGCCCCTACATACTGCCCTTACTACTTTTTTCTTCTTCTTCTTTTTTTTTTTTTCTCCGGTACCGGGAACTGAACTCACGACCTTGCGCTTGCCAGGCAGGCGCTTTTGCCGCTGAGCTAAATCCCCAGCCCCTTTTTTTAACTTTTTGAGACAGGGTCTCACTGTGTAGTTCAAGCTGGTCTTGAGCTCACTTTGTCGCCCAGGCTGGTCGCAAACTCGTAAGGATCCTCCTGCCTCAGCCTTCCAAGTACTGGGATTATAGGCATGGGCCACCATACCCAGCTTCTTTGGGTTTTTTTTTTTTGAGTCAGGGTTTCACTATGTCGATCAGGCTGGTTTCAAACTCACTGTGTAGCCCACGCTGGCCTTAAACTTGCAGCCATCCTTCTCACTCAGCTTCCCGAGCGCTGGGATTATAGGCGTCCTCCATTCCCAGCTATTTTATTTTATTTTTTTGATAGCAGGAATAGAACTCAGGACTTCACCCTTGCCAGGCAGGCGCTGTGCCACTGAGCTAAACCCCCAGCCCAGTTGGTACATTTAGACCATTTAAAATTTATTTAGTGTTACGGTATTGAGGATTAAACCCAGGGAGCACTGTGCTGCATCCCAACCCTTTTATTTTGAGATAAGCTCTTGGTGTGTTGCTCAGGCCACTTCTGACTCGTGACCCTCCTGCTGCAGCACTCTTGATATGCTAGTGCTTACCTCTGCCATCTTACAATTTTAGTTTGTGTTTTCTGTTTACTATTGTGCTTGCCGTTATTATTTTTGATTTTTAGTGGGCTTTTTGGTTTGTCATTGTTTCCTCTGGTTACTTCAACATATTTGAAGTCCCATGTGATGATACATCTACACTTTTTAGTCTTTCCCTTTGTGTTGTTTGTTAGTTGTTTAAGGTACCATATTTAAATGTTTATATGTCGTTCACCACAATTAAATGGCGTTAGCATCGTAGCACTTTGATGTGTGAAACATTGCTTCCTTCAAGTTCCTTTACATCACCTGTTTCCTATATTACCTTGAAGTACTTGTGCCTCAGTCGCTGAGCACCATGTTGGAAGCTGTAGTTTCGATTCAGCTGTCAGACATGCACTACAGTAGTCATGAGGCATCGTTCACCACTGCCTGTCCCACTGTTAGTGTTTCTCGAAATCCCAGGCATCTTCTGTAAATTTGCTGTTTGGTTTGTAAACTTGGGTGGGTCTGCTGGGGACCCTCGTTCTTTGCTCCCCGAAGGGCATTTTTATGGGACGTGGAACTCAGGGCTGCATGTCTTCCAGCCCTGGATAAGCCCGTCCCTTCCTTCTGTCCACTGCTTTCCCCTGAGAAGTTTGCTACTATTTAAACTGTCATTTTGCAGGTTCTCATATGTAATTTCTGTCAATCTGTGTTCAAAATGTTTTTCTTTTTTTTCTATTCCCATCCCCTCTTTTTGAATCCCCTTCCCCTCCCTGTTCACAAAACTCAGTTTTTATTTTATCCTAATTTTCTCATTTTTTCTTTACCTTCTTTCCTTTCCCCTCCCTCCTCCCTATTTCCCTTTTCCCTTTGAACAGTTTCTTCCTATTTCACAATATCTGTTGTACTTTTATGATCTTACTTACATTTTCAGTTTCTCACACCAGAGCAAGAATGTGATATTTGCACTGAGCTACATCCCCAGCCCTTTTTTTCTTTTTTACTGTAAGACAGGGTCTCATTGAGTCACTGAGTTGTTCAGGCCAGGCTCAAATCTTCAGTCCTCCTACCTCAGCCTCCCAAAATTCTGAGATTAAGGGGTGCACTGTCACGCCCAGAATGTAGTAGTTGATTTTTTTATTGTCCGTTTAAGAATCTGTCTTCTCCAGGGGAAAAGAGATATATTGTCTGTTTTCATCCAAAAGGTATGTTTCAACTTCACTTTTAGTTCTGTGGTCCATTTCATGTACATTTTCATGTATATTTTGTGCATAGTATGAAGTCAAGGCCAAGGATCATTTAAAAAATGATTTTCCTTGTCTGTAATACTCAAGTTGATCATGATGTGTCTGCATGGATTTCTGTTTTTTTGTTTGTTTATCCTGCTCAGTTGTTGTTCAGCTTTTTTATGTGGAGGTTTACGCCCTCTCTATGTAGGGAGCGTTCAGCCATTATTTCTTCAGATCTTCTTCTCATCCCTGCTTCTCTTCTCTCTTAAGGACTTCATTAGTATGAGTTGTGCGTCCTGGGTTGGCCAGCAGGTCACCAGCGGGCCGCCCAGGGCTTGCTTCTTACACACTGTGTTCCCTTCGTGGTGCATACCTGTTTCTGTTGAGCTTTCATCGAGCTCACCGATTCCTTTTTCATTTTATTCCCTGCCGTTGAGCTCATCCAATGACTTTGCTTTGGGGATTTTCTGTTTGTGAATTCTTCGCTCGTTCTGTGCAGCGTCCTGCTGTGTGAGACGTTTGACCTCAGCTCTCAGCCTTTGTCACAGCCCTGTGCAGCGGGTGCTGTTCTCTGGGTTTCTGGGTCAGGGTGCTAGGCCGAGCAAGGGGATCTGCTCCGGCCTGGCTCTCGATCCAGCTCAGCCCTCCCTCGTCCACCTGGCTGTACAGCCTCTCACAGGTGGGGCCTGGCTTTCTTGCCCACCATTCTCTTTTTGTAACGTCGATCGAAAAGCGCTGACCGGCGCAGCAGCTCTGGCTCGGCCGTGGAGCGCTGGGCAGCGCGAGTGCGC